TAAACTTTGTTTCTTAATTACAATATTATCATACATTTTTAATATATATATATATTTAATTATTTTTTATAAAATAATACTTAATTTTACATAGCTGGGGAAATAAACAGAATCAATGTACACTTTACTGACATATGTACATTTCATCTTCGAAAACAAACATAAAATGAAGTAAATAGACTAAACAGTGACATTAAGTGGACGCGTCATTTTTATCTCGTTGTTTTCTCACGAAAAAGATACGCACACACGTCGAATGGACGTTGGCGGTGGGAATTTTATCTTCATGGTTTCGAGTGAAGAGTATACCTTGCATATTTTCTCCAAGAGTCTCTTGAGAAATCCATGTGTGTGTGCATGCGACATACACTCGCAAAAAAAATCACCATCGACGCGCGAATGCGTCTTCGTAAAGTCGAGCGCGGCGCGACGCGAAGAAACCGGAGTCAAACGGTAGACGAGTGCCGGCACCGTAACGAGGACCGGCCTTGAACGGGGCCACGGAGATCCAGTTATCAGTTTGCACTACCCGAGTGCTTTTGCGAATTACGGCGTGTATGTGGGCTAACTACTGTCATCCGGCGCCAATATGTGCGTACGGGTCGCGCAGAGTGCAATGCATCTCGCATACTCGCCATGTAGCTAAGCTGCCGATTTTAATAAGTAAATTCTATCATTGTGAAACACATTATTGAAATATATGGAAACACCATTAAAATATATTTTCTTTCTATTATGCACATATTCAATGCGATGAATTACAATTGTGCACAAATAACGTGGCTAATAACATGAATTTATATTGATGGTTTTATGATAAGTTTATTCTGCAATTATGAAATTTATTGAGGGAAAATGGAAAAGGAGAGAGAACATTTGTTTCTCGTATAGGGGGGAGGAATTTAATATAATTGTTACCGAAATGCTTATGTAACGTTATTTATATAGCGACACATTTGGGAGCAATACGGATGCAAAAAAACATCACGCCCATCGTCCTTCGTACACGCGACGCATTCCTTTCATCTCCCGTTTCGCATGCAAACAAGAGGGAACGGAAAAATTGCGCTGGTTTTGCGCATATTTCGGATTTCATGCATCGTTCATCACGTACTCGAGTACGATGCACGCATTTAAAGGTGAAAAATATTGCATCATTAAAACTGCATCGTTATGAATCACGTGAAACTGACAGTTGTAAAGCGTTGTAAGCGTTCTACAAACATTTCGTGGCAAACGTTCATTCTTTTGTGCGATCAAATAGGAAATCGTGTATCGCAAACTGATCGCATTGTAGTATGAAAGTTATATTTTATTTGTTGATTTCAGGATTGCAGGAAAACAAAACGCCCGTGATAAAACGGATTCGATCTTTTCATATTTTGCTTGTATTTTAATAAGATCGATTTTATGTCCCGAGAAAATTGTTGAAATACATTTTATTTTACCAGTAATTGTAGACACAATGATTATCATAAATCACACTTTTCTCGGTCAATAAATTTAACGAGGAAAATAAGCTATGAAAAAGTAGGAGCAGACGCTCTCGTTTCTATTTATGGAAGCAACTATGAATGAAGATGTAAAAATATTTCTTTAAATTCGAGGTTAAAATATTCCTTTCCATGAATAAGACGTTGATAGTATCGAAATATGAATATATGAATATAAAATACACGTGCCGTTTGTTGAACGTGAATTTGATTAAATCAGTGACTCTTCAAATATAATGAGATCTATTTATTTTGTAATCTTTTAAAATTAGTAGGTGTATATCGTATTTTTACATATATAAAACGTTTGCCTGGCAGAATTCTCGATATCTGCCGACATTAGCAAGTGTTTTAAAAATATAAATATTTCATAAGAACGGAGTAATTATATATATATTTAGAAAAAAATAAAAGCTGCATTGGCGTTGAATTTTTATTTTAAAACAAGTATTATCTACTAAGAATATTCGATTTTATTTTTATTCGTATGATTCATTGACACATCGACAAAAAGTGACAGAGCTTATGACACGCGACTCGTCGATATTTTTAATCTTTTGAGAACGTAATACAGTGAAATCATACGATTAGCTTTATAAACGAGATAATAAACTTCTCAAGTACTGTACAAAGAAATTTCACCACGAAGTTTTCACATGCTGTTCAAGTACTAAGTTGTTCTATATAGAACGTCGGATTCCTGTTAACAAGTTGTTCGTCTTTATGAAATGTTTTTATGAAGTAAACATTTTTTATATTTAATCGAGTATTACATTTTGAAACGTGAACCATGTACTGTTTATTATATACGAATAAAATTAGCAATTCCTTTGATGAAATAATTATGTCGAGTCAAAATTGTCGACATAAAATTATTTTGTATGCGATCATCTAATATTTATCAAACATGATTGTCATGAATATATAATTAATTATCAAGGAATATTTAGCATTTAGAGTTGTGCTAGATAAATTAAAACGTGTTTCCAATCCACTTTAGCTGATCTTTCAGCGTTATCCTTTTAAGAAGATCAACAGCGGGGTCGAATATTCGTAAGGTTACCGACACAAATATATACATACAATAAGTGTAACGTAATATTAAATCTAGTACAGGTGCACTGACGTGACATTGACCAATTGTAAGCTCACCGAGTCGTTCCAAGCCGTACGCATCGGAAATTACTTCCGGCAACCGGATCGCTGATACATCCTGTGTGTCGACTGCGACGATTATCCCATTCCGCGGTTTTTCATCGCGTGTTACAAATTACACGGCTTCGGAAAAGGATATCGCGAGCATTCGAACGAATATCGCGTGGCATTGCAAAGCTATCGATTACAGTTAATTTTACGCGTTAACAACGATTGCCGGTTATTATTTAAAGATCCTTTATTATTAAAAGAATGTTGCTCGAGATGTTACGTAAGCATTTCAATATAATTCTGCATTTATTGCAACTTATAAACAAGTTTTTATACTAAGTTTTCTTATATATTAGCATAAAATCACACACTGTAATTATACAAAGAAAAACGCAAGCGTTTATTTAAGAAATTGAAATATAACTGAAGATTGAGCCTATAGACAGGAATTTCAAATAAATAGTGCAATTAAGGAAGTTCATACAATTAAAAATAAAATTTTATTTTCTTATATGTATATAAATAATGTAAATAATGTCTAATTAAAAGGTAAAGGTATTTTATATTGATATTGCAATTACGACAAGTTTTTATATTATCTTACTATTATAAAAAGACGCGATAAAATTCAACGGAACTTTAAATACACGAAGACAATTTTATATAAAAAATTACTATGATACGGCAGTAGCCGCAGATCGTAAAAAAGAATTATAAGTTTAAATACTGTGGCCATTATATGAAAAACGTGGAAAACATTTTTATAATTCCTTTATAGTTCGCGGCTATATATAGTAATTTTTTATATTAAATTAATTTAATATTATATTAATTTTTTATATAAAATTTCTCCGTGTAGTAATTCTATTATAAATCTGGAAACTAATTTTTCTTTAATGAAAATTGTTTTATTGAAAATCATAGTTTTTAATGTAATTATTTTTTTTTAATTATTTGATTTATTAGAAAATCAAGATAGATATCTTGTCCGTAAACTTGACATTTATTGATTTACCTTGTCAAGGATTGTCGTATCTCATTTATAGCCACGAAACAAGTTTATACAATGTACGAATGGTTGGTCAATAATGTCGTGTAACTTTCGCAGTGCACTACTTTCAGCAGAACGGAATAATTGTAGATAAAGTTTTATTATATGTGTTAAATACCGCTAACTCGTGCATTCGTTGTTTTCGTAGTTTTCTATGAAATAGCATCCACGACAGTTATACGAGCTATTCGAAGACTATGAAAGCGCAACCTCGATACTTATTATTCTATTGAGATAAGCTTTCGCGTAGTCATATCTGTGCTGCGCTGAAACTAGGCGAAACGGAATACAAAAAAGTTATACAATAAAGTCATACGATATTTTGTGAAAATAATAGACTGTCTCTTTCATGTTAATGCGATTGACATCGATTTATTTGACATTATTTGAAATATAAATATTTACAAGTTATAAATTTCTATCATAAGATGAAGTTCTTGAAATATTTAACATACATAATTTTTTGTAATATTGTAGATCATTTTAGAATTAATTTTCTGCAGAGGTGATGTAAATCGTTTTTGTAATAGAACGTTGGATATTAGATTACTTATCGTGTGGTAATCGTGCACCAAATCTTAACGTTACGTTGTTAAATGCAACAGCTTACGTTAATGAGTGCATAATTTTAGCATATCAGCGACAATTGTGTCGAAACAGAGTTCATTAGCGCTTAGAGTCGGCTCTTTTCTCCAACATCCCGCATCTTCTCCCCAGCAAGGAAATCGAGAGAGCGGGCGGAGGCGTGCCGACACGGAAAAAGGAGCTGTCAAGCGGCGGCGATCTATTAATAGCACGGACGCGTAACGAATGATTGTCGTTATGTACTTTGAGCGATAACCGAGTTTCGCACTAAGATCGAACGACGTGGCCGGAAACAGTTCGCAAAAAGAACGCGTTGCTACTGACGCATGTACGGCTTCCTACTGACGACAGCTTTACCGCAAAGCTACTCTATTAGATTACGTAAACTGCTAAAGTTGCTAAAAAAATTCACTTTGTTACGTTGATGCGTAAAATTATCCTGTTTATCGCGTTAAAATTACATCAAGTTACGTAGTTTAGAAATAGCTTTTATTAATTAAAATTATCATAATTAACTTTCATGTATTTTTTATCGTCTAAAAATAGTTTTCTATTTTCTTCTTTATAAAGTTTAGAACAATAAAAATATTAAATTGCTGTTTGTAAAAATAAAATTACACAGCTTAGAGATATTTTTATTCATTCAAATAGTAATTTTTATTAATTTTTATAAATCAAATTTATAATCTGTACATTTTAATTAGTCAACACATTTTCTATTGCAGAACTCATTCGGCAGACCAGACGACATCGTCGCCGCCGAGACGCTAGCGAATCACGTACGATGTAACAACTCCTTCGTACACGCCGTGTTCCAAGCACAGTTCCGGTCTAGTCTAACTTGTCCAAGATGTCATCGGCAATCGAACACCTTTGACCCCTTTCTGTGCGTGTCAGTGCCAGTGCCGCAGAATCATCGCCAGATGAATCTCTATGTAAATGTCCTCTACACATCCCAACAACCGCGGCAAGTCAAAATCGGCGTCAGCGTAAATCAAGCGGCCAATGTGAGAGAGCTGAGAGAAATTCTGGCTAGCGACACCGGTGTAGATGAAAATCATATGCTACTGACCGAAATTCATGACGAAGGATTTCATAGGTAAATTACAATTAAAAAAAAAAAAACATTGTAACAATGATAAAAAAAGTAAGTGTTAAAAAAAGTACTATCTCCACGTCGAGATAATTGACATAAGGCGTTTAGCAGGCAAAGTGACTAAAAATATAATGGAATCTGAAAATATACATATTTTCATTGCAATTTATAACTGCGCTATTTTTCCAATTATTCCTATATTTATAATCGTAATTTTACGTAAATTAAAGTACCAAATCTCTAAATCTTTCTTAAATTTCAAATACATATATTACGATTATAAATGTAGGAATAATTGTATAACAATTTCATTATATCTTTAGTCACTTTGCCTGCTTAACGTCTTATGTCAATTATCTTGACAGAGATAGTACTTTAATAGTAAAGCAAAAGATATAATAGTAAAACAAAGAAGATAAACTATTTCCATGTTTTTTGTAGAACCTTCTCCGACTGTCAACCTCTATCCGTAATCATGGAGAACGATCCGCTTTATTGCATCGAGTTGCCGCAGCTGAAGGAACCTACGGAACAAGCGTACATCTTGTTAGTGTGGATCAACGTCCTCGTAAAGGGCGATCTGAGACAACGTTTTGGCAGCCCGTACACGATGCAGGTGTCGCGCGAGACATCCTACGAGGATCTACAGAAACTTTTGCTGAAGGAGATGCACAGCACGCTGGCGGACGACGTTCTCACGACCAGCCAGAGCCCAGGGCTCTTCAATATTCGCGTAGCGGATCCAGCGGCGACGCCGATCCAAGATGAACATCCTTGCATCGATCCTTGCGTGGAGCATCCGCTTTACACGGAGCAGATTGAGCAGGCGTTGGCCCTTTGCGCCGACGACTCGGGTCC